TAGTGACCGATGCCCATACATCATACTAAAATTATGGAGTGAACACTTTTCTAGCCTGCTGAATGGCAGTGAAAGAACAACGCCAGGAGAAGGCGAACCCAATTCTCCAATCGATGATGATGGAGCGGACGTTGCGGCTGCGAAGGAGTGATAAGGAGTATGGATCAGCTTCTTTGTAAAACATGGTCGGACGAAAGCATGCCTGAAGATTGGAATTTATGTAGGCTCTGCCCAATCGAAAAAAGGGAAACTCCACAATCTGCGCCAACTATCGTGGGATAAATCTCCTAAATAAACTAATTGAACCTTATCATATGGCTTCAGGCCTGGGAAACCAACAGCTAACCAAATATTCACTATGTGCCAAATCTTCGAAAAGTCCAGTCCAAGCTACTTTTAACAGCATGGAAAGGAATACCAAAAGTTCCGTCAGGATCTTGGTGGGCCGTTTGATACCAAACCAGGTATCGGACAAGGTGACTCCCTATAGTGCGACTTCTTCAATCTACTTCTTATTTTTCAATATTATTTTATTTATTGGATCTGCTTTTTTTAAGCCTAACAATAAGTTATAAAATCTTAAAACTGTTTTAAAACTAGACAGGCTCAAGCAAGTGATTCAACTGTTTCGTTGATACGTTTTTCCTTAATACGCAGGCCTATCTCTTCTTTTAAGGCGTGTTTGATCGCAGGAATGTACCAAAGCATTAGCCAAGGGTTTTGGGTGATCTCGTAGTTTAGATATATATTTTATTATGCTATCTTCTACTTCTTTCTTTGCCATTGGAAAACCAAGGTCTTTATCGATATTTTCGTTACGCATGTACGACGGTGAAGCATTTTCGATTGGAACCTTTGTATTATATCATTATTAGTTGCACATTTGAATGCCATACATCCATGCATGCTTTCTATCTAAGTGAATACCAAGATATGTTACTTTGTTCACTTGGGGTACTGAAATATTGTTTATTTTTACTGCCAGGCACATTTTTGGTCTAAGCGAACATGCTTTCACTTCTGTTCATTCACATTTATATGCCAGTTCGCTAGTCATTCTTCGACAGGACTTAAATGCTCCGCTAATATTCTTGATGCCAAAATGTGTCAGTACGAAAATGTTCACGAGTTAATTCCATTTTTTGGCCGAGATGAATATTTTGATTCCCTGTAAATAAAACAATTCACGATTAAATAACAAAACGTTCTGAGTGATGTTATGCTAAAAAATGTCAAACTTTCCAATGGAAATGTCAGGTTGCACCTGGCAAAACTTAGTGTTGCCTAGGGCAGAAATATATATGTATAGCAGCCTCCGTATGTGTTATGTGTGTGTTATGGCTGACTAAATCTGTGGCATCCGCAAAAGTTGAAGTTAATACATTGTTAGCTGTTGGAAGATGTGCTGTATATATGATGTATAGAGTTGGGCCTAAAACGGTGCCCTGTGGTTCACCAGCCCTAATCTGTCTTTCATTCGATATGATATAATCTAATACTTTCACCATAAATTGTCTATTATTTAAATAAGACTTCAATGTTTTATACAATTCTAAAGGTAAACTTTTTTTAATCTTATATAAAAGACCTTCGTGCCTTACCTTATCAAACGCCTGAGCTACATCTAAAAATATTGCTGAAAAGTACTCCCTGTGCTCAAATGCTTTCCTTATTTCGTTAGTAATTCTATTTACTTGCTCTATTGTGCCATGTTTCGGACGAAATTTAAATTGATGCATTGGTATTGTATTATTTCCGTAAAGGAGATATCTTTGATTTTCAAATACTTTGGAAAGACAAAATCAACTTCTGGAGAAAATAATTCTGAGCTGAATAGAGAAGGTACCATTTTCTATAAGTGTGTATAGCTGCTGTCGTACGCGATATCCAGACTGGATAAGGAAGCGAATCGTATGGGCCTGGTCGAGGACAAGACGAAATATCATTCGTCATCAAACAAACAGTCGTTGCACTCGCGACTTGGCTCCCATATCACTGTTGACAGTCAGAACTTCGAAGTCGTAGATAATTTCGTCTATTTCAGAACCAGCATTAACATCAATAACAACGTCAACCTCGAAATCCAACACAGAATAACTCTTGCCAACAAATGCTACTTCGGACTGAGTAGACAATTGAGAAGTAAAATCCTCTTTCGGAGAACAAAGACCACATTCTACATCTCATCAAAAGTTCTGCAGAAGATTCATGGTCCTTTACGCATTGACCACCGTGAATATCGCATTCGGTGGAACGATGATCTATATGAGAAATTCGACGACATTTGCATAGTTCAGTGAATTAAAAGGCAGCGCCTACGCTGACTAGGTTATGTTGTTCGAATGGACGAAAACACTCCAGCTGTGAAAGTATTCGACGCAATACCCGCCGGGGAAAGCAAACGAATGACTTTGGAATCTCCGATTGGCGCAAAAAGCGAAATGGAAGAATGACTGGCGCGAATTTGTAAACTCCCGTAAGCGATGTCTACGCCAATAAAGAATAAGAAGAAGTGGAATTCGTTTTGATTATTACATGTAGAATTAAATATTAGTAGCACTTTGTATAAACTTACCATTTGGACACAAAAAAAAAATTAATAACAGAAAAGTGGCGGAAGTAGTATAGTGGACTAAAACAAGTTTTTGAACCAAGAAATCATAGGCACACTAATATGATAAATATATTATTTATTTACAAACAATCATGATTTCGTTTTTTTTTTACGAAGTCAGTGTTTCGCTTATTTCAAACTTTACTGTAAATTTTTCGCAAAAGTGTACTTTGAAGAAGTTAAAACATAATTATATTTAATTTTATGTATCTTTCCCAATTTATCGTTCTAATTTTGTGAATTTTTAGTATTTTATTTAAGTTGAGTTTTCTTTTATGATAATTTCTTTTATATGAAATTGAGGTAAACTTTATTACACCTCTCTTCTGTAATTGCTTAGGCACCATGTGTTAATGTTTGCTGTTTATTAACATAATATTTTGTTTAATTTTTTTTTCCATTTTTCTATAATATTTGATCGTATACTGTTTTTTAGTATTTTTAATTTTTAGTATTAAGATTTGTATATTTAGTGCAAGAATCTTCATTACATATTTCCTTTCCTTGTATTAGCAACAAAATACTATTTTCTAATGATTACATGTAATAATATAAAATAACGGTACTTAATATTAAGTTTTCTACCAAAAAATAAGTGACATATGCATGTATTTTTATGTTACTTATGCGGAACACCCAGCTGACAAAGACGAGTCTTTCGAAGTTTATAATTGGAAACGAAGTGTTATTCCACATACATATGTATGTCATCTTATGATGGATGTATATGTGTATATACTATATAAATCCTTGACGTTTAATTCGATATTCAAAATGAGGATTAACGGTAAGAACAAAAAATTCTAACAATCTCTCGGACAAGCAACTTAGGCATTACATTTAAGGGTGAATTGGCTGTTGTATACGATATCATACCAGTATATCATGAAAGAAACATACAGAACTATTAAGATAGTCCAGTAATTATTTGTGGTTGTTATACGATAGGTTCTAATATAATCTGCAAAAAACTCGTTAGTTTTGATAAATGAATCGTTCTGAAAACATTTCCAAGGACTCATGATTCCGTTATAAATTGCCGTTATCGGAATCGCGAAAGATTTAAGCTATTGAAAATCCTACTATCATGGCATTTGGTATATTATTTGAAAACTTGAACTCCACAGAGAGTTTCATAAAAAAATTACTACATTTGAGAGCAATAGGAATTGGAGAAAATTACTAACCATCAAAACCAATCGAATATTCTATTTAATATTATATACATATAAGTATATCAGCTCTCTCAGAATTTGTAAAGAATGTGTAATAATGTATCAGATTTCAAGTGAAATAAAAAATCAACTGTACTGTAATATAATATTTGGTCTTGTAATTCAATGGTCAGTTGGGATTATTGTATGCTATTGAATAAACTGGTGCCTGTTGTCAACGTTTTATGCTAAATGGTAAGTACGCCCTAGGTTTAACTAAAGTGGACATAAGTCGGATGATTCCACTGAACTCACTATGCCTGTCGGGTCGCCAAAATACCATTCAACAAACTAATTGCTGAATATGTTAGCTTACGACCACAGAAACGGAAACTCAAAAGCTCGAAACGAAAATCCGCTCAAAATCTAATCCAATTCAATAGGAAAATCATCAGGTATTTTAAACTCAATTTAAACAAATAAGACCGGATACGACCGAGCTTCAAACACCATAAAATGGAAGAGGCGAACGAAGCGACTTAAAATGAAGTAAAGCCCTCTGCACTGCTGATTTGCTGCGGAGTAAAAATTGCAATGATCCCAGGTAAAAAAGCCCTGTCTCGATCGTCGCTTTACAATTTCGACTCAGATTGCAAGAATATGATGATGTAAGCTATTGTTTAAAGGTATATTTGTTTTGATTTCCATCTTTAAATTTCTTTTGCATTTGAAAATACATTGTTTTAAAACTCTTTAAAATAATCTACTGTTGATTATATGTATATTGGTGCAACGGCTCGTTCTCATAAATTGATTTCTGAGCATAGTGTCCATATTTTTTGTTTGCCAGAAAATCTCCGCAATAAAAAAAGTCTATGTAATTCCCCTCACTTATCAGGATTTGCGGGATTTACAATATATCGATTGTGATTAATTGTCTCAATACCGTTTTGTAATATATTTTATCGATATTTTTTTCTTTCCTTTCGATTAGAAAAAAATAATAAATATCAAACTATTTGCTACAATTTTGTGACTATAATCGTTATACTCAAATCATTATGTTTTTTTCGCCATCATCAGCAAAAATCTAAGAATCTAATAAGAACAGCAACTTTCGATGACAAAATATTCTATGATCGATCACAAAAATATATGTTGTTTACTTTAAGACCTTAATTTAAGACTTAGATTATATCATAACAGAATAATATGAAAAACGAAAAAAACCGTATATTTTAAATATTTTTATTCTTATTTATTATTATTACTTTTCGTCCAATGAACGCAGTGCCTGCCGAGTTGATCGCTTCGGCTCCGAAGCAGGACTGGTGTGGTATACTAGCGCTCGATAAACATCTCACTTAAACTTACGAAACATATTTTGTTTTTGCCTAAAGCACTGCGCAGCATTCCTTTCAACATTTTCTAAAATAATTTGTGGCATAAAATAAAAACGTATATAAGTATATATTTTTTTCTTAAATTTTCGTTAAATTTCTAACACAACGAATTTTACATTTATTTAGATGTATGAAACTAAGTTTTTTAGGACTTTCGTTTGGTGATGCTATGTAAACGCTTTGAAAATGAGGCTGAGTAGGAAGAGGAGCTCACGGCGCCTGATGAGCTGCGCTGTTGCAATCATCATTTGCTCGACTCCGCCTCAGCCTTCGACGACACTTCGGTTGCGGCGGCTTCCGCAGCTGGGACATCGCCACTGGCCACTGCTTCCTTGCTGCTCGCCTCTGCAGCATCCGCACTCTTCACATCACTAGCGCTTGCTGACTGTTCGACTTGCATGCCTTCTGGCGGTGGCAATGGTATGGGCGCTTGAATTTGCTTTGCATCAGCTGGTTCGGGCTCAGCCGCAGGCGCCTCTGCAGCTTCAGTAGCGACCTCTGCAACTTTCTCTTTTGAAGCGCTCTTGCGTGTCGCAGCCTCTTCGGTCTGCATTGGTTCAGCGGCACCGCTTGACACGGACTGCTCAGCGGCTTCGCCATCTTCTGTAGCCTGTTGTGCAGCTTTAGTGTTCTCGTTTGCTTTCGCTTCGAGCACATTGATGGATGCCTGTATGCATTTAATGGCCTCCTTACGCGCTAGACGTATGCTGTCCTTGCCGTTTGTATCGATTGTGTCCAACTTAAGTAGGTTACGTGTCAACATCTCGTCAAGATAGACGTACTCTTTGTCTTGACGCGTGCCCTTGAAATTCTCCACTTTCGCCATGAGATCGAGGACATCGCGTTGAATGTCTTGGATTTTGCTGATTGAGTCTAGCGTATGTGGAGTTTGTGGTGGCATTCCACCTGCGGCTGCCCCCTGTTGAGGCGGCTGCTGCTGAGTATTTATTGGAGTTGGACGGTGTTGCGGCTGTTGTTGTTGCTGTGCTTGTGGTTGGTACTGTTGCTGCTGTTGTTGTGGTGGCACAAATGCTCGAGCTGATGCACTAGCTGTAGCCTGTGCGTGACCGGGCGCACTATTTTGATTTGGTATTTCCTTGTGTGCGTTAATGATCGGTTCAGAACGACCCTCCACAAAGATCGGTATAGTGCGCACATAGCTGCCACCCGGGGTTTGTGGCGGTGGTGGTGTCTGTTGTCGTTGCTGCGGATGCGGTTGTTGTTGTGGCGGGTAATAGGCCTTATGGTACTGCGGTTGCTGACCGGCATTGGCGCCAGTCTGCACATGTGGACTAGTCTGTGTGCCGAATTGTGAGTGTCCGGCCTGTGGTGGCGGGGTCTGGCGCTTACCATTCACTGGCACCTGTTGCTGTTGTTGTTCTTGTGGTGGTGCTGAATGCGCACGTATACCTTGTTCCGACTCCAGAGCTGACTTCACACCCATATCTACTGTGTTACGTAGCCCATGTTGTTGTAGATTATCAGCATAAGCTTGTGGTGCAGCGCTGTCCACCTGATCGCCATCCATGCGAACAGTGGGATCTTCAGTTTGTATGGCGGCGTCGCAGAGTTTCTTCGATGGCGACTGTGGTACGCCAACGCCATTAGGTGGTGAAGAAGGTACGTATGATTGATAGTAGGCGGGTCCGCCACCCTGTACTGGCACTTGTTGTGAATGCTGAGAGCTGTGTCGGCGTGGCAATGTGGCGCTTTCGTCACGTCTATGACCAAAACCGTCCGGTATATATTGACGAAATTCCGAAGGCAGGCGATTAAAGAAGTCATCATCACGGCCCATGTGATCGGCAGCACGACGACGACCAAGCGAGTTAAATTGGGGAAAACCAAAATCTATAGTGCCATTAAAGAGGAAAGAGAAACTTTAATCAGCACAAATTTTACAAAATTATCGTTATTTTGTTGTGCTTACGTGAGTTGTTGAAGCCACTGAACGGGTCGTGCATGCGGCCCAAGCGACTGCGTGGAAACATGTCCATATCCATATCCATGTCCATGTCCGGTTCGAAACCAAAGCCCTGCTGAAAAAGACAGAAAAGTGTACGTAAACTTCAGTAAAATGAAGAATGAGAATGAAAAAGATCGTATAAAGAAAAATTAAAATTAATAACTAAAATTATATCAAATTACTACTGAGTAGTCATAAAGCATGGATTTATCAGTTTTCTAATTTCCATAGTTTTGGTTTAAAAATTTACATATTTAAGTTTTAAAAGTAATTTTTTTTTACAAACAAGACAAAATCTTTGACAAATGAGAAATAGAACTTCAAATAAAGAGATAGTGAAGATTTCGTTTTGCCCCGGTACCCATCCAGGGTGCTGTGTAAGTGTTAATGTGTCAAATGAAAGGTGAAGAATGATGTGTGGAATACAATGCTCGCGACAGACTGCAAACGACATCTGTCAAATATTAAAATACACACGTTCTTAAGGACGGACCTATTTTGACAGCTGCACGACTACACGACTGCAGGCCGATAGTTGTTCTCGCTAACTTCAATTTTATCCTATATTTGCCAACGACAGTAGGACGACAGTAGAGTTGACAATAGAATGGAAGATAGAGAGATGAGGTAGAATGGTGATGCCACTAATATATAAAATGTAATATTACTCAAAGCTCTAACAAACCCGACGTTGTTTTACAAATAAAAGCATAAAATAGCTCTGTTACATCATTTATAATAACAATTGATAATTTAAAACAAATAAATTTACCTATTTACTTATATTTTGCTTAAAAAGTATCACTTTGAACAAAATATTAAAATTTCATTGAAGTGCAAGGTATTAGTATGGCCACAACGAAATTGTGTACATGCAAAATTTACAACTGTGTTGTTTTGTGTACATGCCGGCCATTGTTATGTTGCTGCCCTCTCACAAACGTTCATGTAGTAGGATTCACAACGCCGTTTTCAGTTCACTGTCGTGCTGCTGCAGTCTGTCGCGAGCATTGTGTTCCTCACATGAACGGATCTGTCTCTGCCACTCTTTCATAATAGCAAGGAAGGTATAAATTAGTTAAAACTTTTACCAAGCCTTGACTTTTTCAAAAGAGCGGAAGTAGCTCGAAGGTGTGAATTTTCGGGAAGCGGTTATTTCGGCCATTTATAGTAGAAATCAATTGTACAGCGATTTCTGAACATAAAACAAAAAAAATTTTCCAATATCACATTGAGCGTACGAGTATATTAAAATTGGGTTTTCCAATATTCTACAGAAAAAGTTCCAAAAATCAGTTAATCCATTATTCCATAGAGAAAATTAAAAAAATATATATGTAACACTTTTTATCGAAATGCATACAAAAATAAATATAATAAATATTCACGGTCCAAGAGGTTCAACAAATTGTCTACGGCAATTAAGTCACGCATATCACGGTGACTAAAAATAAAAACAGAGGTACATATGTATGTATGTATATACCCATACAACCACAAGTTCATACAAATGGTCTGTGCACTGATGAGTGCAATTTCAAAATTATTTCATTTTGGCAACAAAACCAAATATTTATTAAATCTCCTCTTATTTTTCATGTGTCAGAAGTCCACCTTCAATTTGCCTTATTGGATACACAAATAGACTAAACAACAAACAAAGAAAACGAATTTACACGAACAGAACAAATCAAAACAAGCAAATACACGACAGTGTCAATCATAATAATAACGACACCGTAGCAGAAATACAAAATGAGTCATCCGCGTCAACGCTAATGAAAAAGAAAAAGTAATTCGAGTTAATAAAAAAATCGCCAACACGCTAAATAGGTGTACAAGCAAATATATCGTGTGTACATATGCAAAAACAACAACAAACATGGCGCACATTGAAGTGTTTACCAGCACGTCAAACACTAACGACTCAAATTACATGGCAAAAACAACAAGTACATATAGTCATCATAATTTAGCGCAAAAACAACAATTTTTTCTTCATTCAAACAAAATATTGAAAACAGTAAGGCGTGACGTCATTTGGCAGTCAAATAAATCAGAAAAGAGTAATTTAAGACTTGTAAATGCAGCTCTGAGACTAATGCGAGGCGCAAAGACGAAAGCAAACAACAAGCTAGCGAACTGGATTAATGATTTTTGTATGCAAAACTAATATGCATACTTATTATATTTATATATGTAACAATATACATATGTACAAGTATATATAAATAATATTTTGCAATGCCATCGACACACTGTGGAGTGGATAAAGCGTTGAGACCTGTTTTGGGCAGCGCGAGACCGGCACAACCGCACTACACGCCACTACCGGCATGACGTCATTGCCAGCTGAAAACCCGCATACGCAAATACAAATGTAAACAAGTTCGTATATATTTCGCGGCTTAAGTGCCGAATTTCAGGTGGACATCCGAAAAAAATAGAAACTTAACAATCGACCACAATTTTTTTGACAATTTTTCTGTTTATGTGTGGGTGTGTTTTGCGCAATTAGTTTCAAAAAATTTGCGAATTTTAAAACGCCATTGTTGCGATTTTAATTTATATAGTGTGGGCTTTATGCGTAGTAACCATTTGGGATTTAAATCAATTTTTGTACGTTTTTCCCAATTTCTATAGCAAGTTTCAATTTCGTGCGCATAATAGCACATTTCATAAAAAATACACAAAAACATCCATTTGTACCATATAGTCTATAGTGCACACCTCATTGATATTGCTGAAAGGCCATACAATGAGGCGTTTTATGGTGAATGAATCTGAGCACAATTGCTTTAATTGGTTCATAAAGACGAGCTGCATATATGTATGTCAATTAGATAATTGCTGACAAAATCAATCAAAAAAAGTACACATAATAATAAAATAACAAATACAAAAAA